ATGACACAATGTTTATATTATAATACTTTAAAGGACATAATGCTGTATATTTTAAATCACTTTTGATAGCGCCTACATTTCTACTCACCAGCAATTACCATGTGGCACAGTTAAAAGATGGGAGTTTTATGTAAAAAAGTCAAGTCAAATGAACTCTTGTTCTCAATGATGACATATTACCCTCTAATTAAATCAGCTAAGATAGCTCTGTTTGCAAGGATCATTCTAAAATCAATTCTGAAATCAAGAGTTTAACAAGTGGCACTCCTAATAGCCCAGATTTTAGATTGCCTTGATACCTGGAATTAATGGGATTCTTTTAGAAATCTAGTGACTGGACAAATCATAAAAAAAAAAAAAAAATGAAGTTCAGCTAACTCATTTATACCTCTCACACTGTTCTTCAAAAGGATTTTAAAGACATCAGCTAACTCAAGAGAGGGCAAAGAAATCAGAAATCTTTGAAGCAGTTAAATGGAAATTAAATAATTTTTCAAAGTAGGATATTTAACGTGTCTATAAAAGAGTAAGAGTTACCAAACACTGTTTTTCTGTTTATGTTAATGTAATAGCTACGTACAAACTGATAAAAAAACTTGTGTTAATGGTGAATGTATTAAATAAGTCAGTTTGCTGAGGGAACAGAGGGAGGGAGGACAGGTTTCTTGGGAAACCCACCAAAGAAAGGAAAGGACTGTTGGACAAAGATCAGGTAAAATGAAGCATTACATATCCTGAAATTTGAAAGCAATAAAGAAGGACTGAAAAAAGTCACTAGTATATCAGCACAGTAGAAGAGAATATTTTCTTAATTTGATTTTGGGATAGATTTTTAGAGTATTTTTAGAGATAAATTCATATTCAAGAGATGGGAAAGAGCTTAATGCTTTAATATCCACCTGTAGCCCAGCTCTCAAAACACCTGAGACACAAAAAGGGACAAATACTGCGAAAACAATTATATTTTTTCCTAATCTATGAAGATAAATTCCCTCCTCCCTCTACCCCTATGATAACTTCCTATAGCAAATTTTGTTGCACTAACCATTATTCATGCAGGCCTGGTATACTGAAAAATACCAATACGTATTCTTTAGTTTCCATCTTTTATATAGCTACAGAGGTACAATAAAAAAAAAATCGGGAAAACACATAAATACATGATCAATTTAGTGATGGTAGCATGGCTAATTCCTGAGAACATAAATTTCAAAGTGATTTTGAAAAATTATAGATGTTGCAAGTAAATAGAAAAATATTCAGCACAAACTGTGAGGGAATACATATGGTAATTGATAATACCAGGCTAGGTACCTAGTAGATGAAGAAAGAATTGATTTTGCACGCATTCATTCAACAAATACAGAATGGCAGGAGACAGGATTAAGTCTAGGACTCTGGTACCTGGAGTCAGAACTCCTGAGTTGGAATTCTAGCCTCACCACTTTCTAGCTGAGTCATCCTTGGGCAAGTTAACTATTTGAGTCTCTCTGCTGCTCAGTCTTTTCATCTATAAAATGGGGATTATGATGGTATCTACAAAATTATTAAAAGGAGTGAATAAGGCAGTATCTAATGTTTTAGAAGCAGGTAATGTTTTTAAACAGGTGCTCGGCCTGCAGTAATTTCCAAATAAGGGATTGTTAAATACAGCTGAATTAGATAACTAATGAAAAAACGTGGGCATGAAGGCCAATAAGTCACCATTAGTCAGCTACAAGGAGTTATAATTAATGACTCCAAGGAGGCTCAAGGCATAGTGACACAGTAAGCATAAAACAACATTCTCTGAATTGCCCAGTCTTTCAAGCAGATACTCTTTTCAGTTGTTGAGTTCTTTTAGAAGTTTAGAGCCATCAAGATGAGTTGGGTTGGAAAATGAGATAATATTATGGATGCTCAAAGAAAAGACTGGAATGTTTCATACCTACCTTTGATCAAAATAACATTCCTAACAAAGAACTTGATGATCCACTGCTCAGTATCTTCCCAGAAGATAGAACAGAAGAAAATAAGTAAGCACACTGGGAAGGCTTTGGGCTAGTTATCTGGAAACATTTTGATACCACAAGAATTACTAAGTATTAGAATGGATGGCTGAGTGGGGCTCCTGGGTCTTCTTTGGAGATCTTTCAAACAAGGACGGATAGTCTATCTGAGCTGCCTGGGACGGCTTAAGATCAGGGCTGAGTGAAGATTAATGGTGCAACCTGCCCCTTAAAGGCCTCCCAAGCACTCTCTGAGAGCATAACTTCATATATTACCCATCACAGCCCCTCATCTATTGAGTTTGAAGAACTCCCTTTTATCCTAGAATAGGAAAGGGCAACACTATTTCACAATTGTGAGTTCTGAGGAAAACTTTAATAATGTCATGATGAAACATAATGTCCTTATTACTTCTCAGTTATTTTACCAGGCAAGCTACCTGCAAATATCTTTCAATTAGAAACAGCTCTCATGAATCTAAATTATGAACAGCAGTTGCTTTAAAATTCATGTTCCCTGGCAGACTGATGGCATACGCCATTTCTCAAGCAAACCATTAAAAATCCAAACAAGGCAAAGGATGCAAAAGGAGTTTAAAGAAAGGATAACCACCATATACTAGATAATGAAATGTAAATAGTATCAGGAACTAGGGAAGGGCATATGAGTGTTTTCATTTAATAATGGGACAGCTTTCCTAAGCGATTATTCCAACAACATGTAGCATTAAATAGTTCACTTTAAAAAAATTATACATATACACATAAATATATATATATATATATATACACAAAATTACCTTTTACTTCATTTGTTTCCCTATCAGATGTGCCTCTGACCCCACAGTGACCTGTATCTTGATCATTTCCACCAGCATCAAAGCACACCAGGGTTAAGACAAAGTCAACAGTACCCTTAGTCCTAGAAAGTGATTTTAACAGAAGTGCAGGTTTTAGAACTTAACAGCTAATTAGTGAACACTGTAATTGTCAAGAGGTGGAGGGAAAAGGGTGGGGAACCCTGTAGTTAAAAATCTAAAGGATTTATTTTAACCACTGGAAATGTTTTCAGGAAGGTAAATGGTGAGTACAGAAATTATTTATCCTGAAAACCTTCATTTTGATATTAAGGAGATTCACATCAAGCTAAGGATGAAGTCCAGCCTCCTGAAAGTCCCATAATCCACTAAAGAGTACTGAAGCAATTTAAAAATACTTAACTATTTTTCTTCTCTGAGATATCATATCTGAAATCATGCTGGGAAATATCTGTGTGTTTAAAAGATACAATTTGAAAAAGCCCAGATTAGAGGAGAAAGAGTTCCTAGAAGTAGTGAGTCACACTATAAAACCTTTAAAAGTTGAATTCCCTGAGATTTGGGGAGGAGAAAAAAGCAAAGCTGATCCTTATCAATTAATTAAAAAGAATGAAATAACAGTAGACAAAGGGGAAGGAGAGTTAAGAAACTTAAGGAGCTGTGGGGGCAGTAGCTCTCTATTCACTGATTAACAAATTAGGGAGTTCTGGAAAAGGGAGAAGAAGTGACAGGGATAGAAAAGTAGTCTTGTAATTCACCACAGGTTCCGCCTCCGACTCACCAGAGTCTGGCTACGTCTGGCTCAGAATTGAAAGAGGCTCCCTGTGTATCATGCTCGGCGCTGTTAGCGTGTGTATGGGCTCCCCCCACCCCCCATGCCTAAATTTCTATAAATGTGTTCATTTCGGTATAAGTAAAAACCTTCACTTGCAGAGTCTGTAGATCAACCGTAATAAAACAGCAACTGCATTACATATCGAAACCATGATGTTTTAAGGTATCTGCAAAAAGCTTTCACTCGGCGACCAGCTCTGGCGAAGTGCAGAGAGGCTGGTGAAATGCAGCGTTTTGATTTGACCATCGGAGGTCACCGCGGACTTCAACGGCCGGCTTTGAGCAGCCCGCGCCCTCGCAGCAGCTCCTGGCCTCTCTCTGCCTCCCTCAGCTGTGCTCTCCCGCAGCCACAGGGTTCTCTCTCCCCGACACGTTTCATTCACAGCGCCCCGGAGAAGCTCCCCATTCGGTTGGAGCTAAGAGCCGGAAAACACGCACTCGGGCTGCTGCGCAAGTTGTTGCAGCCCGAGAGCTATCCACACACCGGCGCCGAGAAAGGGGGTGGGGGCTCTCGAGCTCTCGGGGCAGGAATGCTCGTGGCCCGGCACGCGGGGCCCGGGGACGCCGGGACAAACCCACTAGCGAGCCACCCGCTTAAGTTGGCGCAGCTTCTGAGAACAGGCGGGCGGGCGAGATCACGCTCAGGCCCGGGCGCCGCGCCGGGTGCCGGGGGTGTCCCCCGAACCGCGAGCGACCAACCGCAATCGGGAAAGCACTGAGGACCCGTAACGCGAAAGCCCGCCCCAAGCCCGAAACTGGCAGCCCGTGAACTCCCCAAACCGGCCGGGAACTGCAGACGTCCGAAGGCCGGGTCCCCCCCGGTGGTGTCGCCCCGCCTCGCCGGCCCCCTGCCCGGGCGCCGCGCGCTCTGCCTCCCGGGAGGGTCCGGGCCGCGGAGCGAGCGGCGAGGGGAGCCCCCCGCGTCTCTCCACCGCCCCCGCCGGCGCGAGGGCGGGAGTGGGGAAGGCGCCACTCAGACTGTGGCGCTGGGCGAACTGCGGCCGCAGTTCTTCCAAGTTTGCCTGAGCGAGAGCCGCGGGGTGGGCGCCCCGCTCGGCGACCTGCCCTCGCGCCGCGACCGCCCCCGGGTGTCCCGGGCTCCCCGGCCCGCCCTGCCCGAGCCCACAGCGAAGGGGGCGCAAGGGCGCCAGCGCCGAGGGCGGGCGCTCCCGCGTGTGCACACAATGAGGCGGCTGAGACGCACACCTTCCCCGCGGGAGCGGCCGCCGGAGCATCCGCCGGCGCCCGGGAGAGCCCTGACAGAAAGTGAACGCCCAACAACTCAGCGACAGGGGGAAGAAGGAGGGCGCCGGACGGCCGCCGAGGGCTGCAGCCTACGGGGCCGCGCGCCCGCGCTTACCTGCGATCTCCTGGTAGGGGATGTCCGCCAGGCTGAATCCCTTGGCACCGTACGCCTGGCGGACCTCGCCGCAGCTCCGAGCCTTCACCTCCGCCCCGGCTGGGAGGGACAGCAGCAGCCCGGAGAGGGGAAGAATCACAGCCCCGATCCAAGAAGGCATGGTGCAGCGTGCAGATCCAGCTCGGCAAACCCCAGGGCCCGTGCGCTCTTCACCTCGCCCCTCGAGCCGAAAGCCCGCCAGAGCCAGCGGCGCGCTCCTCGCCGCTGCCCAGCGTCACCCCCTTCCGCCAGCCGAGGGGACGAGCAGCGCAGCCCTCTGGACTGCGCTCTGCAAACTTTTATAAGCCAGATGGAGGATGGCAAGCCGACCAGGGCTGGCTGGGGAAGCAGCCGCCTTGCTCCTCTAGCCCCCCAGGTCGAAAACGGTGCAATAAAAAACGAGGGAGAGGAGGCAAAGAAATGTTTAAAAAACCACCACGGGGGTTCAGAGCCGCGATCCGACTTCCGAGCCGCAGAATCGAGGAGCGCTGCGAGCTCGGCTCGCCCGAGCGTGCGGCGAAGGTGGGAACGCGCGCCGGCGCTCCCGGGGAGGGAGGTGGACAGGCGAGTGCGAGTGCGTGTCGGGGCGAGCGCGGGTTCTTGGGGACGCGTGTGCGTGGAGGTATGTGTCGGGGATAAACGGGATCCAGGGGAAACCCCCGCTTCACACAGGCTGAAGGAGCCTGTGAGAGTCCTCCTGAAATAGGGAGAGAGAAATCCCGGAGACAGACACCGGAGGCTAGAGGGAAGGAGAAAGGAGGGGAGAGAGAGAAACGTGCTACACTGGGCACAGCCGAAATTCAGAGGCAGAGTCAAAGGCAAAACCTGGACTGGATCTCTTGCTACTGGGTAGAAGAAAAAGGGGGAAAAGGAAGCGGTTCTGTTTTCTCACTCCCTTCACATCCTTCGTACTGATCCGAAACGTTTCCTTTAATGACTTAAGTAAGTAATCTAGAAAGACGAAATATTTTAAGTCATTAACATACGTGGTATTAAACTATGCTTTTGTGGACTGAAAGGACCACGCAATTCCAATTGTTTCTCTAAATATGAGCAACAATTTATGACCTACTGAAACACAAAGCCCGTGTAGAAATAACTCTGTGGGGAACCCCTGACATTCAGAGCACAATCATCGTTGTAATTAATGGTCTCATTTCTGTTTGGCTTTGTTTTTTATTTTCTAAAGACAGTTTGTGCACACGGGGACCAGTAGTTTTTTATTATATATATATATATATTTTTTTTAATTTTTGATTTTGGACTCAAATTTCACCCTTTTTAATTTCAAGTATTACATAATCTTGGATCAGAAATCCGTATGCTTAGATTCTAGTGTGTGAAGGAACAGGAAAGCTAAGAAGAAGAAACACAACAGGGAAGCAATGGGAAAATGAGAGAGCAGGGGTCAGTGGGGTGCACGAAGGAAGATACTAGGGAGGAGAGTGATTTCTTCCTTCCCTCTCCCCAATCTCACATAGTGGACTTAAACATTTTCTTCCAAGTTAACAGAATTCTCCACTGGGGAATCGACTCACTTTCTTCCCATCTTACACTCCAGTGTTGTGAACTGGAATAAAAATGAAAATTCAGGGTAGGCTAATTTCTTATTGACTTTCTTATGTTAATGAACTCTGCTAAGCAGAAGCTGGTGTGGAGACCCAAAGCTTCTGCAACTACTAACGTAATTAAATCCAAGACAAAAAAAAAAAAAAAAAAAGATAATGCTTACTCACTTCCATGGTCAAATGTATTTAGGCCAGCACATTACTCAAAAATTACTATAGGGTAATGTCCAGTTGTATGGGGCTCCCCTATAAAGTCACACATGCTGTTAATGACCAGAATGAATCATGAAATTTAAGTCATTCTATTTGTTATCATCACAACATGTTAGGTACATCTTCTTCCTCTCTTTGATTAATTCCTCCTCTCTTACTCCACTGAAAAGGGACTCAAGTATAAGATACAACCGCATGTAAACCATGGAAATGCTTAAAAATATAAGGCTGACTTGTTTACAAATTGACTTTCTCTTCTTCAAAACTCCACAGCTAAACATATCTTTCTGAAAACAACAGTCACATACACGTTTTTCTCTCAAATTTTTCACACAATTTTTGTCTTCATGATACTGTGCTGTTTGACCTTAAGTCACTGAACTCATTTTCCTCCAAGTCTGAAATCAAGATGAGAACAAAATCTACTCTTAGTGGGAAAAGGATAAGATGGGTATGATTAGAAATTGCTATAACCAAGTCATTATTTCTATGATTTGACATGACTTCATTCGAACTTCTGTTTCTATCATTGCCAGGTGATAAGCATTGTACACTCCTGAGCAAGGGGTAAATGCAATAAAAAAGATGTTGGAGGTGGAGGAAGAATGGGTAAAAACATAGTATAAGTGGTTTAAATTATTTAAAAATCGATGCATCATTAAGTATTTAATGAGCATTCAATGCAGCTATACAGAACTAGGTTATTGTACATAGTTCCTACACTTATAAAATGACCTTAGGAGTTATGGCAAAGCTAGTATATGGAAAGAATTATAACTTAATCAAGCATAAATAAAGTACTTCAATGCCATCAGGAGGGTGAAACAATGCAGAGTAGGTTTGTGAACTCTACTCAGACCAAAGAATTAAGTAACTTACATTACTGGTAGGTAAGGTACCCTTACCTACTTGGCCCACTTGTTGGGTAATTCAGCACTGTTTGAAATGGTGTAAGAGGGGCAAAGTCAAACTTCCCAGCTAAGGGCAACAGCACAGCCTACATGAGATATTGGAATGAACACTGAATGACATGCAAGTTCATAGAAGAAACTAAAAAGAAGAGAGCTCATATTATTAAGGAGAAGTTGGCATTTGGTTTAGATAGGAAAAAAAAAAGTTTAGCCAAAGACCTCGAACTCTAGCAGTATTGTTTATATTGTATGTAATGGAAAAAAGTTAGGACATTGAAGAACATCAAACCAGAGGAAGCAAGCACAGAGAAACAAGAGAAAGCTAAGAAAGAGAAACACATAGAGTTCTGCCATAATGGTAAAGATTTCAAGAGATTGTGACCAGAATAGGAGGGTAGTGAGCAGAAAGAAGATGAAGGTAAATTTTGCAGAAAAGATTAGCATGATTTGTTCTTTGGTTCAAGACACACACACACACACACACACACACACAATAATTATGAAGACTTATTTTAAAAATGTGAGTCTCATTGGGAAAATATATCTTTATTAGGACAATAATATTGTTGTTTATACACCATTTTTATATCCCAGCTGTTTTTCACAACCCCTTCTGGGCATAAGATGAATGGAATCTCAGAGACTTTGAGTTGTAGAGGGAAAAAAAACTAAGTCTTTAGGAGCAGCCATAGTTAATAGGCAAGCAGAGCAGCCCATGATCTATTTCATGGTCAAGGGCTCTTCCTTCCTACCCTAAGTCTGATTGCATCTGGGGGCATTATGCCAGCACCAAAGGATGAATCATATTTGGCCTACGCATGGCAGTCCTTTCCCTCTCCTATTAAACAGGAGTGGGCCTAAGATCCATTTCTGGCCAATGAGATGTAAGGAAATTTCTGATGAACATTATTTTTCCTAGTTAAAGGCAAGAACTATAGGAGCAGAAAGGTCTTTTTATCTCATCTTCCTGCCTTCTTAGAGCTAATTGAACATCTGGTGACTAGGAGACAAGACACCCCTCACAGGCAAAGAACAGAGGAAAGCCCCTAGATTTTTGATTTCCTGTTTGACCCACCAAACGAGCCCTTGGACTGCCAACCTCTGGACTTAAATACCTTTGTAGTTTATACCACTGTCAGGTGGTTATTCTGCTATTTACAAATGAAAGCAATATAAATGTATAGAGCAAACTAAAGGAAGAACAAGAGACGTGAAGGCAAGAGACAGGGGTTAGTTGCAAATGTAGGAAGAGAAGAAAATTAGGTAGTGCCATGGCATCTAAGTTAGGAGATTTTCAGTCATGAAGCAAATCACAGTAGACATCAAGGACAAGGAAGGCAGAGAAAATGGTACTTAGATAATGATGAAGAGACTTACTGGAAACTTCAACAGAGACATTTTAATAAAACGGGGTGGATGCCAGACTACATGGAATTGTATATGAAATGGATGGATAGAATATGGAAAAATCAAGGTATAACTAATTACACTGTGGTAGCTCTATGTGGAAGAGGGGAAAGGGTAGTCAGGGAATGCTTTCCAGAAGAAGCTTCTAAGATTACAAGAAGAAAGAGAGACTAGACCTAGAGATTGAAAGTCACTATGATATTATTTGGTATGTTGGTTTTAAACAGTTCTCTCTTTTATTTGCATTCCGTAAGTTTTCTACAGGAAATATGAGTTCTTTTTTATGATGAGAAACATTTAAAAATAAATAGTCACCCTTTCAACAAATGCAAATAACATTTATTTTATAAAATAAAGGAGTCTTACCATTATCTCATGTATGAGATAATATATATATTATATTTATATTATATATTTACATATAATATAAAACAAATGGCTGTTAATACTTTTCTCAATAACAACCTTGTGTTATGAAAGTATTTTTTAAAAAGACACAATTACAGAATTTACTGTTCTTTTATTCAGTTATACCAACACGTGAATGAGAAACAGCAAGAATTTTAGTATTTGGTTTTTTTTCCTTTGTGTATTTAGATCAAGTAGGACAAATAAGTTCAAATGAAATCTCATGAAAACAAGAGAATGGTTTTCAAGTGTCTATCCCACGTCTTAGCTTGGCACAAATCAAAATCACTTAGTTAACCTGCCTCTTGAAAAACAGAGCCTGTAATGAAAAAGCTGTCAGAAATTTAACAACAGTAGCTCTGCCTGGTGCCTGGATAATGGGAAGGTTGCTGAGTTCCAGGGAAAGAAAAGGTAAACTTGGGTGAATAATGACCAAAAATCGTGGTGAAAATAATGTTTTATTTTTCTTACCAAGGTTTATACCCAACCAAAATGTAATAGTCCATTTAACATTTATTGAGCCTTAAGAATATACCTAGTATTAATATAAACCAATTAAAATTACATCTTTATGGCAGCTGGGGACCCGCTGGGTTACTAATGATCTCTTGGGGAAAGCCAAACACTGAGGGACAACAGATTCTTCTTGTCTTCCAATATTCTTCTAATGTGAAGCCAGAGCTATTTGGCTTCAGTGGAGGAGGGAACTGTGTGATCTGTTTAATCAGATTTTTGCCTAATAGTGATGCCAGAGTTTAGCCAAGAGAATTGAAAGAGCTCTAATTATTTAATTATATGTAGTTTCCATATATTTTGGAAGAACAGACGATGAAAGTATTTCACATATTCTTAAGCACTACCCATATTTACTTGAAATATTACCGACAATCATGAAGAAGGTGTAAATAGAAAATATATTAAGACATTACAATGATTTAAAATGCTATTTTTAATTTTTTATATTATTAAAGATCCAGGAGTCCACTCTCCACTGATTCTAAGTGAGATTCATGCCTAAAAATACATCTTAGGTCATAGAGTACATTTAAATAATCAAGTAACAAAATATTTACTTTCAAATATTGGTGTTAAGACCACTTTCTGCCTTGGAACAACTTTGGCAAATGTAATACTGTCTAAGCACCATTTTATACCATCATTAGAAAAGCTTATTGTACATAAGGAAGAGAGTTTCATTTTGATTTTATGGCTCACAGTATTAATAGATGCCTTCAATAATGTCATTATTTAAAGCTCCCATGTTTTTGAAGTATTTCCAAATGAGATATGTAAATG